TATGTATGTATGTATGTATGTATGTATGTATGTATGTATGTATGTATAATGTATTATCTAATTGTTAATTAGATACTGTGCAAATTTAACTACAAGGAAGTATTTAAAATAAAACATTTAAATAATTATCACATAGAATAAACATTCACTCCACTACTCACTGAATGTATTAGAGCTAATGCTGTAATTATGAAAATGTTTTAAATACATGTAAAATAAATGGCCAATGACAACTTGGAAAATGCAATTCATGAAGTCATAAAATCCATAATTAGCTCTAATGAATATTTAAAGTCAAAGTTCAGGCTAACTTTTTCAATGATAAATCCACTGCATCGATATAACTCAAGCGATACATTTATCACTGCAAATGACAGCAACTGAATATTAATTGGAAGAACTCTCTGCTGACAGGAAGTCCTTATCTCTTGCCAGCCCTTGTGACTATAGTGCATGTCACCAGTATGTTTGTCACGTCTGATATTATTGATTACCTGCCTGTTTGGCCAAAAACAATTTTAAAAAATTCTTTTTAAAAATATTTATAAACCTGACTGTCGAGAGCACTTATTTTTCTATTAGAAAAATATAGTGAATTAGCTGCCATATTTCAGTTCAAAGAGCAGCAGCAGCAAATAAGGAGTTGCTATCATTCTAGACAGCATGACATTTTTATATAAAAGCCCTCTTTTGTTGTTTAATTTTTTTAAATAGTTCATTGGACTCTTTTGTACTGAAACATAATGAATGGTTGTTATTGGACATAACCTATTTAAAAAAACAGACTGGGTCTTTTGTATTCTTAATGGCCTAATGCAGATGTAAACAGAAGAAATTTAGTTTTCGCTTATATCTGGAGCTATATGAAGACATATTTCAATTCAACCAGTTCTGGTCAAATGATCTTACATAAGCAGTAGTTATTTTAGAAATATAGACTAAATCAGACCAACTCCCATCAACTGATCAATATGATATTGAAGCAAGTCCAAGTACTAGAGATCAAGATCAGAAAAAAGATGTTTATATGTATGTATGTATGTATATTTTACAACCCCCGGTATGCCCAAATATGGGAGGAAGATCACTACGTGGCTCAGTGGTTAACACATCTGCCTAAGATGCAATACAGCACAGGTTCGATTCCCAGTAAGGGTATGGCTAACTGATGAGAGCTAAATAGCTTGAAATAGATCTATACTAGTCTCCCTTGATTTATTTATCAGCACAAATACAACAAATATACACATACACACATACATACATACATATATAATTTTTATCTGCAGACAAATTAGTTGTCCATCAATTTATTATTCTTTGCACTAGCCTTATCAGCCAAAGTACATAGTATTAAAATGCTATTGCGTTTTGTTTTTACCCCAGGCCTTGTCTATCTAATATGCAGACATTGGGGAGGTTAAAAAAAGAATATAATCATTTGTATTATTAACTCTTTAATAACATATTTTATGTATTTATTATTTGTAAAATTTATTGACTATTTTAATTGTTAGGGTAACTTTGGGTGGCTTATTAATTGTAAAATCATCAGTGTGATCCCAAGGCTTGGCATTGAACTAAATTATTTTCAACGTACAAATTCTATGCAATGTAAAAGCTAAATTCTGTGACACAGATATTAAGGCAACAATGATTGCCAGGAGAGGGGACCAAAGTCCATTTAACTTTACTGTTATCTTTTGGAAATACAGAATTCATTTTCTGAAGATGCTGTTTTCTAAGTATCTATGCCTCCCAAAGACTGCAAATTCTAAGATCAATATAAATCCCACTCTGCACACAGAGCATCTCTTAAGCTCCTGAGCCTGGTAACTGCAATAAGGCAATCTGTTAGCTGTTTCCTCACTGGTCTCCTTCTATTCCACAAAACGTATGTTTTTAGAAATGTGTACCCTAAAATTGGGAACAGAATTATTTATGTCTGATGATTTGTGCCATCCTTGTTAACTGCATTTTTATACAATTGCATATGTGTTATTTTTTGTCTGAGCAAGTAATCCAAAAAGTTATAAGCAGAGGAGGGTGCGCGCACAGAAGCGTCCGGTCGGGTAGGCAGAGGCTCCTGCCGCCACCGCCAATACTAGTTCACCCAATCCGGGCCGAACCGGGAGCAACCCACCTCTGACTGTAGTGCATTCTTATTTATTCTTCTGAGCACATCTAATATCAAAATATGGTGTTAATGATTTCAACCAATAATATAGAAATACAAATCAAATCATAAGTTGGCTATGCGCTTTGATTCTGTTCCCACAATATACACCCAGCAGGATTTCTCACTGATTGAAACGATAGAATTTATAGAGAAGAGTTCTCTCACCCAACACCTCTTTGTAAAATAGAATTGAAAGACTTATTACCTTTAAAAGTATGAAATGTTAAGAGACTGGCGTAGTGTCAAGAAGTTATGGCTTAACATTTATACCATACAGAACATAATCTTATACATTTTATGCAGAAGCAAGTCTAAATAAATTCAATGAGGCTTACTCTTAAATAAATGAGTTTCTATAGAATTAAAATATTGCTGTTTATTTGTTCACACAGAACATATTTTGCCAGTTTTTTAAAAATTAAATTGATTTTTAATTGGTTCCTACATTCACATTGTTTGAAGTAGCTAAGACGTTAATAGCTAAAGGTCTATTCTGTATATAATCTTGCTGATGCTTAAAAAAATATAGATTTTTTAAAAGACATTTTTAAAAAGCTTAAGCAATTAAGATAGATATCTCAAATATTTTTATTTTTTTTAAAAAAAAACTGATCCTTTGATTTTGGTCCAAGATATAGTAAAAATGGATGTCATAACAAACATAACAAAATGGATGATTTCTGGTTAATTTCTGAATTTAAAAACATTTTTATCTATTCCTAATACATAATTTAATTCCATACTTTTTCAGAAAGTATCTGTGGTGAGCAGATGAAAGTCTGTTCTGCCATTTGCTACAGAACAGACTTTTACAAAGTATGAAATACTATAACCTTTAATATTCTTCCCTTAAAAAGTGGGCCTGGAGCTAAACCCATACCACCTTTGCCGCCTTGTCCTTAAAGACTAATTAAACTGCAGCTCAGCCTTGGATCAATTTAATATTTCATAGATCTCTTCTTCCAAAAGAGACTCAGTGAGAGCAAATTCAATCTGTTGGAAAGCATTATTGCCCATTTAGTTTAGTATCATTCTGATCAGCTGTCAATCCGAAGGGTAGCATGTGGCAAAGATGGGTATTTAGCATGTCAGAGTCATTGGATGCTGTTCTGTATTTCTACTTATTTGGTAAACTGCCTTGGAATAAGGGATGATTGATTTACAAAGTAACAAATTTCAAATTTCATATTCCAAGACTAAACACAAAATAATTGGACAGAGCTATTCCTTTGCCTGAACCCAGTACGATCAAGCTTGTTTCAAGGTTGACTGCCTGCATGAGAAATATGTGCATTATTTCATTTTGTCTCCGATCCAATGTTCAATGTTAGAAGTTAATTAAATTGCTTCTCCATTGTATTCATCCACTTACAAAGTTAATGATATTCTGTCCTGAATTAAGGGGAATTTTATAAAGCTTGCACTATGGAACCTGGCATGCTGTACATGGAGGAGCTGAACTCTGTCATAGCTTTGGGTTGCAATTCTTCTAATTAGGAAACAAAATGAATGTTTCTGTGTCTGCCAAAGTAGAGGACAATTCATTCCGGCAGGGAGGCAAAATGCTTTGACAATAGCAACTTAATTATATTTTGTGTTTGACTACAATAAATTCTTCAGAATTAATGAACTTGTTAAAGTTTTAAAATCACCATAGGAAAGATAAACAAGAGTGTAACAAGACAGCCTTTTAAGAGAGCACAAAGATTTCTACAAAAAACGAATTATTTCAAGGACATAAGCCCTAAAGATTTTGCAAATTTTCAAAACACTCTCTTTGAGCGATACAGTAATTAAAATGGACATACAAGATTTATTTTTCTTCCCAATCCTTGAATCTAATGCTAGTTATGTGGAAGTGTATTACGGATCAAATAAAAGCCATTTCTGAGGACCTTTCTAAGCTGAAATTCCTCCAAGCCGAAGATCAGGATTCATTCAACAATTATCAGAAACATTTAATTAACTAAATTTAATTAACTAAAGATACCAAATCACTTTTTTAATTTTAATTTAATTTAATTTTAATAGCAGTGTACACTGGGCTCCCAGCAAGGCAACACCTTATATATATCTTTGGTCTACTACTTTTCAAAAACCAGACAAAGGAAAAAGGCAGATACATGTAAATTACAGCACCAGGTGGAGTATTTTAGGTAAACACATCTGGAGGACCTTCTCATTACAGGTAGTCCTCAGCTTACAACCATTAGTTTAGCAACTGTTCAAAGTTATGACGACGCTGAAAGTGACCTATGACCAGTCTTTGCACTTACAACCTATGATTCCCATGATTATGCGATCAAAATCTGGGAGCTTGGCAACCAGCATGCATTTATGAAGTCTAGACACCCAGGATAACCATTTGCAACCTTCCAAGCCAGCTTCTAAAAAGCAAAGTCAACGGGGGAAGCCAGATTTGCTAAACAGGTGCATGATTCACTTAACAACTGCAGGGATTTGCATAACAGCCAAGACAAAAAGGTAGCAACACAAATTCTGGTCCCGAGGAGAACCTACTATATTTAGCCATTTCTGCTAGATCAACATGATAGGTTCCTCCTGACTGATGCTTTCCCTGACTGAATTCACTCAAGGTCAACTCAACTTGTGGTAAGAGAACTTTGAGCAGTTCGGTTTATGTGTATTGGGGAGGCAGGGTGCATCTCATTTTTTAGTAATGAATGCAGCTCCTGAGTGGGGGGGGAGGGGAGAGAGTTGCATGTGTGTGCGTGACGTGTGAGTGTGTGTGTGTGATAGCAGAGGGGCACACTAATTACTGAAAGTAAAATTTACATACATGTGCCACACACAAATATCTACCTCTGAATTATTTTTCTTCAAGAAATCAATGAACAATAATAATATATGATACTTCTATTTGTGCATAATATTTACTCATTAAGTCATGTTTTAGATCATATTTATACAGAAACATTGAAAATTCAAAGGGTTTCACAAACATTTAAGCACCACTGTAACTGACTTTAGATTTGTGCCTTGAAGAGCATATTTGTAGCATCCCAGGAGGGAAAATCCAAAACTGAACGGTAGTTGAGCAGTCAGAGAAAAAAGTCCTTTTTATTTTACTTCAATCACTACAAGGTCTGAATTTCAGTAGGGCACTGTTCACACAGCAATACCAATTTTGAAATAAACCTTACAATGGGTAATATATGTGCATTTCATGTTATCACAAGCTAACAATAATATTATCAAACTAGAGTATAACAAGATGTAATATGCAGTGATCGTAAGAGTAATCGGGAAGCATAAGGAAAGCTATACCGATAAACCTTATT